GGGCCAAAAAGGTAAATTCACACCATTACATTATTTTATATTACGAATTTTTAATACACAATTTTTTAAAAAAAAATATTTAAGTCACGTTTAACATGTAATATTTTTAGGCTAAAAGAAAAAAGTATTACTAAAAATATTAAAAAACCTATAATTTATATTAAAAAATTAAAAAAAATTCCTCTACTTTTTATATATATTTTCGTAAAAAATTAAACAGTCATTTTAGATATGTTAATATTTTTACCTTATATTATAGACAAAAAATTAAAAATTACTAAAATAACATATTTTCAAACGAGTCTGAACAAAAAAAAAAATTAAAAATTTATTAAAATAGCATATTTTTAAACTACCCAAAAAAAATTTAAGGATAAATTACAAACACATGCCCTGAGATTTACTTAAATTATAAATTACTCTTGTGGTTCTAGAAATTACATTATGCCCCTAAGATTTTTAATTTCATAATAAATAGGTCATTTTATTAATAAATTATCAAGTTAATAGTTATAAATTCAATAACGGTAGTGGTGGCGATGGCGGCGGCGGTAGCAATGGTAATAGTGGTGGTAGTGATAACAATAGTAGTGGCAGTAGCAATAGTGGTGGCAGTAGCATGATAGTGGTGTTTGTGGTGGGTTTATAATAGTATATATTGATACTTATGTATAATAGTTATAAATTCAGTTAGAATTAAATAAATTTCATATAATTTAAAATTTTCTTAAGTTTTAACATTTCTTTTAAGAGATTTTAATTTTTAAATGATATCAATTATAATTATCAAATGAGTTTGATTGATTATCACTTAATACATTTGATTTTAAGTGCTAAATGAGGTTATCAAATGAGATAATTATTGAAAAGTCCAAATTAAAGAGGGTATAAGGCATTGAGTTCAGTGGATATTTTTGTTGGTGAGAGTTCCACCATTTGTGAAATAATTTGGTGAGAAGTCATTTTGTTTGTTTTGAAGGACATTTTGTTTTCAATTTTACCTCTTAATTTATCTTTTGACTTTTTTTATCTGTTGACTCTCATTGACTATTTGATCAAATTTTTTTCTTATTTGCTCAAAAAAAAAATTCTTTGTTCAAAATTTTTCCTATCTGTTCAAATTTATATCTATCTATTTAAATTTTTTTCATCTGCCAAATTTTATCTACATAAATTTCCTATTTGTCCAAATTTTTTATGTGTAAATTTTCTATGTATTCAAATGTTCATATATGTTTAATTTTTTCTTGAAATTCTTCTATCTGTTTAATTTTTTTATTTTATTTTTTAATCTTTTGAAATACGAAGCCAAACCAAATCACCAAACCCTATTTGTTCAATTTTTTTTTCTCTTCTACCTGTTCAAATCTCTCTCTCTCTCTCTCACTCTCTCTCTCTCTCTTCCCCTCCTCTTCATATGTTCAACACAAGAACAGAATAAATGAAAATCTATTGCAAATAGTTTCATCATTATCATCATCAACAACAACTACAAAAAAAAAAAAAAAAAAAAAACATATCTTGGATCCTATGGTTACATAACTTTCTTCTTTGTACATAGCATTCAAAGCTCTTGGAAAGCTGATTCTGGATGTTGGGTTAATGGTGGCATATCACTGCGATAGATATGGTAATTCCTCATGATTAAAATTTTCTAGTATTTTTATTATGGAATTGTAAAAATGAACTCTTGTTTTTCTTGGCCTCAATTTCCACGGATTCTCTGAATGGTTGAGTGAGTGTTTGCCAAGATATTTTAAAGAAATTCTTTGGTTGCGTTTGGTAGAGTTTTGTAAATGTGATTTGAGAATTGAGTTGTATTTTGAGTTTGTGAGTTTTAGAATTATGATTTGAGTGTAGAAAATTTATTTGGTTATGGTTTTTGAATAGAGTGTTGAAATGAGATTTGAATTGAAGTTGGAATTAAGATTTGAAAGTTTGATGTGACATGTAAAAGAAGAAAATGTGTTTGGTTATGAATTTTGGAAATAGTTTTCAAACTGTAATTCAAATTATTATAACCCATAATCAAACATATAACTTGTAACTGTATTGAGCTTATTAGTCAACATTCATAACCAAACTCTTTTTTCAATACAAATCAATAAATTAATTAATAATTTTGCTCCCAATTATTAATTCGTTTTAATAAAAAAAAAATCCGAATGAAAATTTTGTTCGTATAATTTGGCTCCACATAAATTTTTGATTCAAATAATTATGACCCAATTCTTTTTTTCCTGTTAATTTTTTTTCATTTCAATTTATGTTTTAAATTAATTTATTTTCCAATTACGTTTGTTTGCAAATAATTTTTTTTCCAATAATTTTTTGGCAATTAGTTTCGATTTATTCCATAAATTTTTTTCCAATGCATTTATTTTCATTTAATTTATTGCAACACCCATCTATATACACTTCGTCCTCCTCTATATACACTTCGTACTCCTCCACCAAGGCAACACCAAATACACTTCCTGCTCCTGAACTAAGGCACCAGCCAACATACAAGATCAACATAATTGATATTCCCCTCCCAACATAGTCTCTATCCACTAAACATTTAAACTTCTGCCTTCAAAACACTTATATCCACTGGACGTCTGACTGAACAAGCAACAACATAACCAGCAAGGCGGCGAGAGAGGGCAGCAACCGAATACCGCAGCAGGGGGCCGACCGGTGGGTTAGCCGGTGAGTTGACCGGCTGGTCAACCGATTTTTGTATTTTTTTTTCCCCTTCCTCGCAATGTCTATATCTCGCTTCATACCAGGTTAGCTCATCACATTGCATTTATTAACCTTAGTTAGTCACTTATTAATAATTCATATGTGTATACCATTTCAAAGTTCAGAGAATGCTTTTCAAAGAATGCTTTTCAGAATTTCAGCGTGCTTTCCCGTGAAGGTATTCGGTGTTAGGATTATTGCTGATCCATATTTTGGACCGTTGAAATTGTGTGCTGCAGAGAAACGGGGAGAAATCGTTGCCAAACAATAAACAGAGTTGTATTTTGAATTGTGTGCTAGAATTATGATTTGAGTTCTGTATCCAAACGTGAAGTGCAAAACGTGGTCTGGAAATATAATTCCAGAACACTTCCAAATAGAGCCCAAGAATTTCATAGTACTTTGTGTTCTTCGGTGCTCTTCCAAGCATCTTCGATGATCAATCGATCTATACAAAACAAAACACAAAAAGGATCGATCAAACCCTCCAAGATCATGATACATACAAATCGATACACATAGATGTATGAATATATATTTTAGAGAGAGAAAATGAACAAATGAACAGAGAATTTGTGTGTGGACTTGGTGTTCAATGAGAGAATGAGGGTTTACTTGCTTTTGGAGTCAAATCTGGCAAGTTTAGTGCAGTTGTGGAATAGATATGAGAAACTTCTGTTTGGCAAGACAAGGATTGAGAGACGGAGAAGAAACGGCGATAGTGGTGGCAGGTTTCTAGCGGATGGCGGTGGTTCGGACAGGGATTGAAGGCGATATCCCGTAACTGAACACGCAGTCAAGATCTACCTTCATCGTCAACTCTTGGATCCTCCGTCGTCGACAGTGACATCTACCACACGACGCCGCCTACAGCACTACTGCGTTGATTCGGAGAAAGGAAGAGAGAGAGAGAGAAAGAGAGACGAGGGCTTGGTGAGCAGGAAAGCGAGAAGAAAGAGAAAAAAAAGAGACGACGATGAAGAGAAAGAGAGGAGTGGTTAGGGTTTGGTTTGGTTTGGGTACAATATATATATATATATATAGGTAATTTGGTCATTTTCGTGGAGCTTGTCTTTATAGACATAATGTTTCAGAGAGTGGACCTTTGAGCAAAAAAAAATCTTAATTTAAATTTTTGGACCAAGTGCCCGTTATCAAACACCCTCTAAGTTATAAACTGAATTGAAATAGTTAATTATTTGAAAATAATGAATGTTTCACTAACTCGGGTGTTATTAGTACAAAGAAGAGTGCCAATTATGGAAGTGTATGAGACTTGTGGCGAAGCTCCCAAAACACTGATACATTGCTTGCAAGATTGTGTTTTGGCATAACAAGTTTTGGCATTGAGTCTACTAAGGTGGGTAACTGATTCAGTGGGTTGCCTTGATTTCTAATAAAGGGTTGAGGCGATACATTCACGAATGGATAGCGTAGGGTTGGGTTTTTTTTTGGTTTATGTTGGAGGGGTTTATGGTTAGCCCAAAATCAAGCCGTCTTTAATAAAAATGTTGGAATTACTGAGAAGATTGTAAGGCAAGCTTGTGATTTGCTATAAGAGTTTGGGCAAGCAAAGGCGCAGTACAAGGCCCTCGTCTAGGTCACATTCCACTACGATGGCCAGGGACGAAGCTACATAGGGTTCAGGGGGCACATGCCCCCTCACTTTTTTAAAAATTACACTTTTATCTCTAATTAGATTTTTTTTTATTTAACACCTTTTAAATTTTTAAATATGTTTTAAAATGGTTGTATCTCATCTTTTTTCTCTATTTCTTTTTAATAAATTCCTAATAATTTATCATTATAAATGTTTAATTTTATCAAAATATTTTCTTGTAATTATTTCTATCTCTCTCATTTGTCTCTTGTTTTCCTCCATATCTATCTTATTCTTTTTCTTTCTTTTTTTTTTGTACGCATGTTATTCAATTTTAAATTGTGATTTCATCATATTTAGTAATTAAAATAGCAAATAAAAAAAATCGGTTAATTAAAACATATCTATAACACATAATTTTGACATCAAATTAATCTTTGGTCATTCTATCGCCAAATAAAAATTAGATTTGGATAAGTTTTGTAATTGATATCGCAAAGGGTTAATGGTGCCCCTCATGAATCACTGACGATGGCAACCTCCGAGGGTAGGTGTCTTCAAGCTCAACTTTGATGGTGTTGTTTTTGGGTGAGAAAAAGTTATTGGGGTCGGTGATTGTTCAAGATAAAAATTGGCAAGTGACTCATGCCTTATTAGAGAGGCTCCAACAATGGGTGGAGGTAGATTGTGCAGAGCTTGTGAGGCCGCAAGGGCGGTGGAGTTTGCCCGAGAGTTAGGATTGGGAATGATAGAGTTGGAAGGTGACTCACTGAATATTGTGAAGGTTTTCCAAGAAAATGGACAATTGTTATCTCTTTTTGGACATATTATTCAAGGTGTGATTGGATTGAGTAGAGTAATTCAAAGATTCTATTGCTCATACATCTTAAGAGAATGAAATAAAATTGCTCATGAATTGGCTCGGATGGCCCAACATGCACTTGGGTTGAAGGTTTGGATGGAAGAAGTTCCCTCTGAGTTATCTCAACTTGTTATGGATGAAATTTTGTAGCTAGTTTGGTTCTCGTTTAACCCATTAAAAAAAAAAAATTTAAGAACTATTTAGGTTATTTATTTTTCTTAATTTTATCCAATTACTAACTATTGTCCATATTTTAACAAAAACTGACATCTAAGGACTATGCGGTATTAACTAATTGATCACTCCTGTACACTTTTAATTGGGAGGTTAATGAGTCGAGTCTTGCTAAAGGTAAGAACTAATTTTTTTTCCTATTATGGAAATTTTGTTATATTGAGTTGATTTCCTTCCATTAGGGAATGACCCTCCAATAATGTTAAGTTTCATAAAAGAAATATCATTAAAAAAATAATAATAATAATTATTATTCTAATTCTCTATTTTTGGATTAGTTTGTAGTGTTTTATTGTATATTATGCAATCACCTTTGGATTAGTTTAATGAAATTTTTCATGATATTTATTTCACAAACCGTAACATTACCCATGACCCTCCTCGCTACTACTATACTCCATACTCCACCAAACTCTATTTCATGATTCACATCCCAAGCCCATAACGATGATATGAACCGTTCATCTTGTAGGCCCAACACTAAAGATGAGTCGTAGAAAAAAATAAGTTTCATTAAACATCAGTAGACACATGAACAAATTACATTTTGTTTCTTTTAAACAGATAGTAACTATGAGTTTAACTTAAACCGTCAAATTTATAAAATAAAAATATGATTTGTGTCACGCCCTCAAAATAACCCATTATATATATATATATCATTGACATGCATTCTTTAAAGAAAACAATTTATTAAGTCATTCATCAGAGTATTACTAAATAAAAAGCATTACATGTAACATCGAATAAAATGCCCTACAAGCTTACATCTTTCCAAGCCAACACTTGGATACAAAAAAATATGAGTTCTAACTCAATACAAGAAAAGCCCTAGGCTTGAATGTTTACATGTACTAATAAATAAAGACAATTAACTAAAGGTAGTCTTCTTCAATCCAGAAGCCAAACCCTCCCAAGCTAAGTCCTTGGAGGTAGTTTATCACCTGAACCTGAAAATGATGTTCCCATAAAGGGTGAGCCACAGCCCAGTAGAAATATACTAAATCACATATAAACAATGAATAAAGCAATAGCATTCAACAGATTGTTAACCAAGATAATCAATTACTTCATTTTACAGCCTCATGACACTATTGTCTAAGATACGTTTTACTTTCCGACTTTATCAACATGGCTCAGAACCTGGCCAAACTTACAACAGTGAATTATATATATATCATATTCACATTCTTCCAATATCAACAAACAAATGAGACTCAAGCTCAAATCAAAACACTTCATACTTCCAGATTGATACACATTTTAGTGTAAATGGATAGAAGATGATGCAATGGCAAAGGCAACTATGTTAAGTAATTGTGCTTCTACATCATTTATACGATCACATAACAAAACATACTCTCTCTCATGAATGCTCTTGAAAAGTGAATACCATATGAACACTCAATTAGGCCATGTGGCACAGAGTAGAAGAAAGTTAAATTCTAATCAATCAGCAACCTAACCACCTATAAATGAAGATGTGTATCTAAGGACTTAAAACAAGGCTCAGGACTTCTTGTTTCATATGTATTCATGTTGTTTCATTAAAGAAACTGCTACACTGCCAAAAAAACAGCACTAATTTGCCCTTAATGTACAAGTTAATAGCTGAAATAATTGATTGGTGGGACGTCTAATGGACTATAGAATTGGATAAAACAGAAATTGTGTTGATTTAGCTATAATACGATCAAATAGCTACAACTCCAATTGTTTATTAAGGCAGTAAGCAATAAAATACAGTAGAAGCATCATGGTTTCTATTAGAGAAAATCAACTATCTGATTACATTCCGTAACTTGGAGTGCCCAAGAAATTGTAATAAAGCTGTGAATGCCGACAGTGCATGGGATGTTAACTGCTGAAGTGTGAGCAAGTTGGATGGTGTTGGACCCCTTGCATGAGTTACTTCTTTTTTTATTTGGATAAAACAGAGACAGCTAATAATAGGAATGTTCTAGAAGGATAGGAAGTTTAGCAGGCAGAGTCCATCCAAAAGATTCATCCACTATGTTGTCAGCCTCAAATGATAAAGCATTAACCCAACAGTTTGCTTCTCTTCTCTTCCAAGAACACCGTAAAGGATTCAAGCTGTTGCAAATTATATTAATCTCCTCCACACTGTCTCCAATAACTGAAATATCTCCTGAACAATTCTGAAGCAGAATCTTCAATGCAAAACTGTGTACCACAAAGCATAGGGCTTCAATATGACCTAATCAACATCCAATACAAAAGGTTAGAAGGCAATTTTTAATTTTTTTACCTTAAATTTAGTGGAGATAATTTTTAATTTTTTACCCTAGAACTTAGAAGGAAAGTAAATTTGATTAATAAAAAAAAATTGAAATTAGGAACCAAGCTCAAGCTCTTTTGAAGGAAAACACAAGTAAAGGACCAAACTATATCATTTCATTAGCTATCATTACTTGGAAGTCATTTCATTTTTTTTTTCCAGCTTAATTAAGCTATTTCATCTCATATTAAATGACTTCTTAAATGGTCTCAAAAGACAACTAGGAATTGATTATTGCAAGTTCTGCCATAAGGCCATTTTTTTACAATTAGACAAATTTCCCCTTTTGTTAAATTATTGGAACAAATAGGACCTTCTTGTAGTAAAAATATTACAAAATGAGATGCAGGATTGGTGTTATATGTCAATTTTTCCAACTCTTCGAATTTTTTGATGAGAACCATTTTGACAATATTGCGTAATAACTAACATGGTTAATGAATGAAAGAATGCTAGAGTTTGCCTTGGATTTGGATTCTCAAATGTAGTCTAGCATGCAAGGAGAAAGGTTTTAAAACTTGTGATGTTAAACAAATTTATTGAAGTCTCAATGATCAAAATTCTTGCCTTTGAAGAGTGTATAGTAGGGAGGCTTTTTCAATTATAGTATGTGGAAATGACTTCTTTCTCAATTTTCTTGATATATCTCTTATTTATTTATAGGGGGTAACCACTTGGTTCAATAGTAAAACCTTGGCCTAATAACTTTGAGGTCATGGGTTCAAGTCACGGTGCAACCACTTTGTACACTATGCCAAAGTTAGGTGTATATCCAATCTTTTCCCTCCCAAATACACATTAATGTGTACTAATTGTTCTTTTTTTTTAATCTCTTATTTATTTATCACTAATAAGAGTTTTCAGCATGACTGTACAAAAGTAAATCAACATATTCAATAAAAAACCTCATGACAATTCTAAAACTCATAAAATAGCAACCAATTGCATCCTAAATTGTTAGTATGGGTAGAATTATTCATATTTCTTCACAAAACATTGAACAAAAAAAAAAAAAAAGAAGATCGCATTCAAAGTCACAATTGCAGGTTTGTAATAAAGTCAGGAAGTTGTCCTCTCCAGAATAAAAATAAATATAAAAATCAGCATTTCAATAGTAAAATGGAACCACTCAATAGTTCTCATCTTGGAAATTTGAAATGGGGAACGAATACCATCTACTAATCAAGTTACTGAACCAATAAATTTGTAGCTGTTAGAAACATTATGAAGCCAATCCATGATGTCATACATTATACTAGCAAAAATTCATGTCTTAGTGATAAGAATGAGATGGAGGTCACACAGCATATACTGACCCATAAAATAAAACTGCAAAGACTAGAAATGATTGAAACATACTCTTTTCAACCAATCATAAAAGGAGATCCTCATTACCAAATACAAAAATGAAAATCTCCATTCATAACTTGAAATAGTTCTTATTTTCCTCTAAGGTGTAAAATAATACAGATTAAATACCAAATGAGAATGAAGTTCATCCATTCTGTAGTGGCATATAGATAGAAAAGGAAAAAATAAATATTTGAAAGGGAAAGAAAAAGAATGAACATAAAAACAGCGCTTTTTTTTTCTTTTCAATTCGATCTGTTCTGCTTTTTCTCTTTTCTCCTCTCTGAATTCTTCTTCTTCCCTGCTACTTCCTTCCATCTTTCCATTACTAAAGCTTTATTCACCTATTTTTTCTTTTCTCTTTCCTGCTAGAATATTTTCTGGGGTCATCATGTGTTCATTCAGTGTACTGGAAATTTCAACATTTACAACAAAATGGAACCCTGGGCTAGGCTAGCTGACCTTCAATCAGATTGTATTGGCACCAAAAAATAATTTTCTGTCAATTATGGCTTGTTAATTATGGCCAAATCTCGTTTAATTTATGGTGGCTTGTTGATTATGGCCAAGTCTAGTTTCATTGATTGTGGCCTGTCGATTTAGACCATAAATTACTTTTAACATAAAATTATGGCCACATATACATTCATATTTTATTATTATTATTATTATTATTATTATTGTTTTTGTTTCTGCTTTGTGCAGTGTATAGCAGACGTGGGGCATAAAGGCGGTTGTAAATCCATGATGAGCAAAGAACATGGCAACGTGGGTGATTGTGGAAGATGTTGCTTACAAAGTGAAGTAGTGGAATATAACCTGATGTGGAAGTGGGCTGCTTCCAGCAGTTACAAGAGAAGGACGGTTGCAAGCCTATAAATAGGCAAAGAAGAGAAGATAATATAAAAAATAAAAATAAAATAAAATAAAAAAAGGGAGAAACATGTTGTTCAATTTTTGAAATTAAATAAATAGATTTATGAAGAAATCAAATTATATATATACTAAGAACACATGTTAATAATTACAACTAAATTTCAACAGAAATACACAAAACAATAAAAGGGTAAAGAGACGAAACCGAAGCCTGCACGGAAGCAGTTTCCTTAAAACAGATTTCGCCGCCTCACTGGTCGAGTGCTTGAGGAATCCCGGTGTCTGTCTCCCAGGATACGACGGTCAAAACCAGCTACGGCAGAAGCGCTCTCTGTCTAGCTTAGCGAATAAAACAGTGGCAACACTTTCTCACTGTAGGAACTTTCAGGCAAACTGACTTGTGAAATGAAAGTAAAAATTTCTGTGTTTGAGACTTGACAGGAGGGTCTCAATTTATACATGTATAGGGGAGAGAGGAAGAGCCTCCAGCCTTTATGGCTGTTCATAATGCACCATTAACCTCTGCAATAAAGACAGGAGTTACAAACCCCATTAATGCAGGAGTTACAAACCCCATTAATGTTCTATTAAACTCTGTAATAAATGCAGGAGTTACAAACTTCATTACCTTTTTTCCATGAAGCTAACTTCATGAGGTAATTTCTCATTCAAATCTCAATGGTTTTTGGCCATTCTATCTGTGGTGTAAAGATCTCAATACAAAGTATCTAGACCCACTTGGACCCAACACAATAGATGGTTGGGACCCACTTTAATCTTTAATTAAAGTCACCACACTTTAATATTAAATTAAAGTCCCCAAAAATTATTTTTTCCAACAATCCCTCACATGAATAAAAATTGACCGAATGACGTAACAAACGAACACCGTTCAACAATAATGACTCGGAGAGAGAGTACAATGGACTAACCCCGACATCAGAGAAGGCAGCTTTTGGCTTTGAACCTCTCCCAGTGAAAACCTATCGAGTTTACTGGCAGATCAGTGAATAAGACATCTTGAACTGCTCTACCGTTTATGTAAACTAAGACAATAGATCTCACACGGGAATTACTCCTACCACCATTCTGTTCTCACTGGTGTGCCCTGTATGGCCCTGGGCACTAGCCTGGTTCAGCGAGTGGTTTCAAAGAATCTTGGCCTACCCAATTCTCTAGAAGCGGCCCCACTTCACACTCACATAGGTGACTCTACTTGAGTATCCTGCTATACTCAGCTCAATAGCTTAACACACTAGAGTCATTAAAAGCTCAGCCTAACCTCTACACTTGCAGGTATCACGGATAGAAGGAATGGCTGGAGGTTTAACCTCCTCAGTGACATACCACCGTTACACGCAATTAGGTTGTCCCATTGAACCTAGATCTTGGGATCTCCAGTCAACTAGGTTGGGTGTGAGTTACCCAGAAATGGCAAGGCCGGCTGATGCAACACCTGTAATTCTTCCAACCCACATCTCCAAAACTTTTCTCTTCGATCCAAACCTTCTTGAATCCAAACTGACTGGCAAGTCAAGACTGTTGATTCTTTGTTCTCCATCTAACCCAACCGGATTTGTTTGCCCGAGGAAACTGCTTGAAGAAATTGCTCAAATTGTGGCGAGGCATCCTCGGCTTCTGGTAATATCACTTGTCATGCAACTTTTGGTGCGTGTACTTGTAGAATTTTCAACTTAGTTAACAATTGAGTTTGGGACTATCTTTGGCTGTTCCTTTCAGGTGCTGTCTGATGAAGTATATGAACACATTATTTATGCACCAGCGACTCATACAAGCTTTGCATCTTTGCCAGGCATGTGGGAGAGGACTTTGACTGTCAATGGGTTTTCTAAGGTGCTCCAACTCTGTTTCTTTTAAGCTTCTTTTCTGTTTTCATGACATGTCTCCATTGTAGATCATTTTGATATGGTCATAAACCTCAAGTGATGAATCTCAGAAAATGTGGATATTTGTAGACCTTTGCAATGACTGGTTGGAGACTTGGATACCTAGCTGGTCCGAAACACTATGTTGCGGCATGTGGAAAGATTCAAAGCCAGGTATGCCATTTCTTGGCCTCTCCACACCCTTCATTTGTATTTGTAAACTCTTGCCTAGTTGTATTCTGTAACCTCCATCAATGTCTGTTAACAACTTAACATATACTTCATTGAGACACTTTCTTTATTATTCTTGGTAAAGTGTAGACTTAAGTCTACAGGTGTCGATGACACACTCGTATTTGATCCACTAAACTTCTCAAGTATCTTATCAACATAATGAGACTGAGATAGTACAATTCCGTCAGAGATTCTGGTAATCTTAATTCCCAGAATAACATCTGCAATGCCCATATCCTTCATGTCAAACTTAGAGTTTAACAACTTTTTGGTAGTTTTGATCATTTCATCGTTACTACCTATAATGAGCATATCATCAACATATAGACACAAAATGACATAACCTCTGTCAGTGTCTTTGACATAAACACACTTGTCACATTCGTTGATTCTAAACCCATTTGACAACATTGCGTTGTCAAACTTCTCATGCCATTGTTTAGGCGCTTGCTTCAAACCATACAAAGATTTGACAAGTTTACAAACTTTCCTGCTTTGCCCTGGAGCTGAAAATCCTTCAGGTTGCTCCATGTAGATTTCTTCATTCAAATCTCCATTTAAGAAAGCTGTCTTTACATCCATTTGGTGAATTTCTAGATTGCGCAAAGCAGCAATCGCAATCACCATCCGAATGGATGTTATCCTAGTAACAGGTGAGTACGTATCAAAGTAATCCAGGCCTTCTTGTTGCCTGTACCCTTTGATAACGAGCCTCGCCTTATGCTTGTCAATTGACCCATCGGCCTTCATCTTTCTTTTAAAAATCCATTTGTAGCCTAGAGGCTTGCAACCTGGAGGTAAATCTACCAACTCCCAGGTGTGGTTTTGTAAGATGGAGTCAATCTCACTTTTGATCGCTTCTTTCCATAATGGACTCTCAGGAGAAGTCATAGCTTCATGAAAAGTTTGAGGTTCGTTTTCAACCATATAAGTTAAGAAGTCTGGACCAAAAGATTTGGATATCCTAGCCCTTTTACTCCTTCTGGGCTCATCTAAAACCTCAATTTGATCATCACTTGAATCATCAATATGATCATCCTCACTAGCAAGCTCATCAAATTTCTCCAAAGACCTTGGAACCCTTTCATGGGTTCGGCAAGGAAAAATGTCTTCAAAGAAACATGCATTCCTTGACTCCATAATGGTATTCCTGTGTATGTCTGGAATTTCAGACTTATGTACAAGAAATCGATATGCACTTCTATTATGTGCATAACCAATGAATATACAATTAACGGATTTCGGGCCTATCCTAACCCGTTTGGGTGTAGGAATTGCCACTTTTTCAAGACACCTCCACATTCATAAGAATTTATACGAAAGCTTAACGCCTTTCCATAACTCATATGGCGTCTTGTCCACCTTCTTCCGGGGTACTTTATTCAGAATGTAATTTGCAGAGAGAATTGCTTCCCCCCACTTGTTCTGTGGCAATCCAGAGCTTATCAACATTGCATTCATCATTTCCTTTAGCGTCCTATTCTTCCGTTCAGCAACCCTATTTGATTGAGGAGAATAAGGCGCCGTGGTTTGGTGGATAATCCCGGATTGAGCACAAATCTCAATAAACGGTGATTCATACTCACCACCACGATCACTTCTTAAAGCCTTAATCTTGCGGCCTAATTGATTCTCAACTTCATTCTTATAAAGAATAAACTTGTCAATAGCCTCATCTTTGCTTTTGAGCAAATAGACATAACAATACTTAGTGCAATCATCAACCAAAGTGATGAAGTATTTATTGCCACCACGTGATTGTATAACCTTTAAGTCACACACATCACTATGCACTAAGTCCAACGGTTCTGAACTTCTTTCAATAGAATGAAACGAAGATCTTGTCAACTTCGCTTCAACACAAGTTTCACACTTGTGTTTCGGATTAATCTTAAAAGATGGTATGTGATCTAACTTGATTAATCTCCGTAAAGACTCAAAGTTCACATGTCCTAGTCTACCATGCCACAAATTCGAAGACTCAAGCATGTAAGCAAAAGAAGATGCATCTTTATTCATCTTTGGGATAATAGTCATTACATTGAGTTTAAACATACCCTCCAACATATAACCCTTACCCACATACACTCCGCTCTTGGTCAAAACGACCTTGTCGGATTCAAAAACAATGCGAAAACCATGTTTGCTGAGAAGAGACCCTGAGACAAGATTCTTACGAATGTCCGGAACATACAGGACTTCGTTCAAGGTCAGCTCCTTTCCTGACGTCAACTTCAGGACCACCTTTCCTTTCCCCTCAACAATCGAGGTAGTAGAGTTTCCCATAAACAACTTCTCACCGGTTGTAACCGGTTCGAAAGTTGTAAACAGCTTTTTCTCGGAGCAGATGTAGCGTGTAGCCCCAGTATCAATCCACCATTCTCTTGGGTTTGAACCTACCAGATTCACCTCAGAGACAACGGCAGACAAGTGCATATCATCCTCCTCATGGGAGTGCTCTTGTAAATCTGCCATATGAGCACGAGGTTTAGTCTTGTATGACTTCTTCTTCTTGTGGCAGTCACTAGCCCGATGCCCATTTCTACCACAGTTATAGCACTTTCCAAAGAACCGATTACTTGGTTCCGGTGGCTTGTAAGTTGGCTTCTTTGCAACACCACCTCTAGGCCCCAACTTAGAGGGCTTCTTTCTTATTCCAGAAGATTTGCCATGTTCAATGACATTGGCTTTTACTGAGGAGGTACTCCCTCCTTTCTTTCTATTATCCTCCTCAATCCGGAGTCGGACAACCAGCTCTTCAACTGACATTTCCATGTGCTTGTGCTTCAAGTAATTCTTGAAATTCTTCCAACCATTGGGAAGTTTCCTTAATGATCACAACAACTTGGAATGACTCGTTCAAAGGCATTCATTCAGCATGAATTTCATTCAAGATCACTTGGAACTCCTAGACTTGGCTTATCACAGTTTGAGAGTCTACCATTTTAAAATCAAGGAACCGGCCAACCACAAATTTCTTTGCCCCGGTGCCACGGCTGGAGGATCCTCGCTCAGAACCTTTGCAAGGTTTAGCGTGGTCAAGTAGAACTGCATCTTTTGCTGCCATCTCTTGAAGTTCACCCCAGTAAATTTCTCTGGGCGCTCATGATGACTGAGCGGTCCTCCTGGAACAGCCGGAGTAATGCCATGGTTGACCACAGAGGTCACAACAGTAGGGGGTGGCAACCCAGTTGCCCCGGGGTTCAGATCCCTACCAACATTAGTAGTAGCAGCAGCTTCAGTGACAGTTACCATTTCGAAACAAATAAACCTCCTTTTTAGCCAAGGCTAAACACTTTGGTTTCTATTCCAGAAAACCAAACCAAAATCCAAACTTACAAGCAATTTAAACTTGCAAACAATTTAAAATTGCTACAACCAAATACATGCATATAAAATGCATTTAATAAGCAAATAAAATTGCTACTACAAATTGGTAAACAAACCAACTAAATCTCAAGTAAAAAATGGGTTCAGATCCCCACCAACATTAGCAGTAGCAGCAGCATCAGTGATAGTTGCCATTTCTGAACAAATAAAACCTCATTTTTAGCCAAGGCTAAACACTTTGGTTTCTATTCTAGAAAACCAAACCAAAATCCAAACTTACAAGCAATTTAAACTTGCAAACAATTTAAAATTGCTACAACCAAATACATGCATATAAAATGCGTCTAATAAGCAAATAAAACTTGCTACTACAAATTGATAAACAAACCAACTAAATCTCAAGAAAAAAATTTCTTCAAACATAAAGAAAAATAACCAATCCAATTGAGGATTATAAGTAGTCCATACAATTCCTTTCTACGCTTAGGTATGCCTACAAAGAGAGTTAGTCGAAAACGACAACATAATATAAAGCAATTGTACATACAATCAAATATTATTTAACCTTCTAGCAAATCATAGAATAGCAAAATAACTTATGTGTATAACTCTAGAAACTAGAAGCAATTTCACATGCAAATTAGATAGTAAAGCTAGAAGCATGCAAAATCAAAATATACATATGCAACATTAGACAAATAGGATGAAACCAAATAAGTAGCATGCGGTTTATGTAAATTATTTGAATTGTTTATATGTAATAAACTAATAATCAAGCACTTCAAGTATATAACCATTTAACCATTAACATGCAAAAATTCTAAAGATTAAATCATGTAATCTAGTCTAGAAAATAATAAGCATGTAACAAATTAAAACCTAGAATAGAATAGAATTAGCATGTCAAAATTGCAACATCAATAAATTATATTTTATAACCTTAAAATTCATGCAAATCATAGAAGGGAAATGACGAACCATACTCATAAAATAAGATCAGAGTAATACAATTAAGTATACAAATTATGATAGAGCATTTTAATTACACTAAACAATTAGAGAATCACATTGCATAATTTACAATCATTGAAATAGGGAGCAATTCCGCAACAGTTCCTAGTAACATTATACAAATGTCTATATAAATCTATTCGATCAATTTCATAGGAAAAACATATATGAAAAATATGTTTTAAGCTTGTTGTTCAATTTTTGAAATTAAATAAATAGATTTATGAAGAAATCAAATTATATATATACTAAGAACACATGCTAATAATTACAACTAAATTTCAACAGAAATACACAAAACAATAAAAGGGTAAAGAGACGAAACCGAAGCCTGCACGGAAGCAGTTTCCTTAAAACAGATTTCGCCGCCTCACTGGTCGAGTGCTTGAGGAATCCCGGCGTCTGTCTCCCAGGATACGACGGTCAAAACCAGCTACGGCAGAAGCACTCTCTGTCTAGCTTAGCGAACAAAACAGTGGCAGCACTCTCTCACTGTAGGAACTTTCAGGCAAACTGACTTGTGAAATGAAAGTAAAAATTTCTGTGTTTTAGACTTGACAGAAGGGTCTCAATTTATACATGTATAGGGGAGAGAGGAA